CAATATGCTGACGCTGGAGGTAGCCATTCACGACATGAGCGCAGTGGGCACAGGCATTATCATCTTGAAAGATGAAACGTCGACCTGCACATTGAGCAAAGGGCAGAACTATTGGTGCCAGGGTATGGTCATGGTAGTACACACCAGTGACCCTTCCTTGAACAATATGCAAGTTCGTTCTGCCAGTCATGGTGATTCCTCCCCACACCATAACAGACCCACACCCGAATCTGTCATGCTGTCTGACATTAAGGTTAGCATGACGCTCATTTACACGCCTCCAAATGTGAGCATGCCTATCGGTGAAATCCAGAGTAAATCTGGGCTCGTCTGAGAACATTACACGCGCCCATAGACGATAAACCCAATTTCTACGCTGCCTACACCATTGATGCCTGTTTGCAATGGAGGCACAACAAGCAGTTGTCACGCATGCAAAGGGGCTGTATGTAGCATATTTCTGATTTCTGACACATTAAACATGTGGGATACTGCTTGCTGTGTAGAACCCATTTGAAGCATGCCAATAGCACGTAGACGTTCATCATGATGAAGACGTTTCATTGCAAATTAAATGTAACACACTAAGCAAAGATACGCTAAACAGTAAATCTTATGCAAGAACCGATAGGAAAGCAAACATGGATAGGATAAACCAGCACGCGGCAGTTTTCAGCAACCCTTCCTTGAAGTGTCAAATTTGACAATGAACCCCTCCCACATGTATGGCGCTATTGTGTGTCGCACATGCAGCTCAGTGGTTCTATTGGGGCGACAAGTTCTTCATACTCTCAAAACATGTCAAGTGTCCATGACTATTGTATCACAACCTGCATAGGTATTTGCATTTCAATATCCCTACTTTTTTTGAAGAGTATATAAAGACGTACACTTAAAACACACGTTCAAACAGGAAATCGCACAGTAAATTAGATTTAACACCTACATGTCAGATAAAGTCTGCTGGTCCTTTGGTGTAGTTATAACATGCTTTCGAGAAAACTCACCAAACAAAAATACACACCATGTCAGTCGTTCTTAAAACGTACGTTAATTAACACACTCAGTACAGAAAACGTGCCGTCGAAGAGATTTTCTACCCTAGCAATTAAAGCACCTTTCAGTCAATTTCTCACCCCTATTAGATCTTTTGCGATTATTAGAATTTTACCTATATTTGTACAAATTTACCCAAGTAGTTAGAAATCTATGTCCTAACATACAAAAATCACCTATGCTACTACTTGGTGCTGGTTACTATGACTCAAAGCCCTTTACAGGGAAGTTACAACAACTCATTTCCAGGCGCCATTTTGGACCCCAACTATCACCCCATAAAAATTATGATGTCATTGCATCATTCATTTTTACTTAAAAGGACAATAACACTCTTGCTGGCTTAACAGCTCCAGAAAATAAAAAATAGCCTTATTCTAAGTACTAGATGTGTTCGTGTCCTAACTGTTGCGTAAATTATCCATTAAATCCTATTTTACTTGTCCAGAGGGTTCAAAAATATTTTTAAATCCAAGTCACATTTGAAAAGCTTTACATCAGGCTTTTCAAATCATTTAGTTGAATTTTCCAATTTTTTAAATTAGGTGTGTTAAGATGAAATTTGTATCATCAATTAATTGGAATATTGTAAAATAGTACAATTTGTTGACCAGAATAAAGATTGGGACATATTATTCAATTACAACAAGGGTGGTATTGAGCCTTTCACAAAACGTTTAATTTATTTCCTGCAGTATTAAGAAAGATGCTAAATAGAATAGTTATTCAGACTTTTCAACAATATTGCCCAATAATCAACTAACTATAAAATTTTTTAAAGGTGGAGATTATCTTCGATTCAAATATAATACGTATATACATGGAGTTTAACGACCTACTTTTCTACTCCATCAGGGCCAATGAAGACGCGTATTTCATATTACAAATATTAAGGGTACTTTACGTGCACGCCAGTATTTACATTGGACCTCCAGAGCTTTCTTGGCCAAAACAAGGATAGAAACGAGGAATGGGGATAAAGCTGAATACAATCTTAGTGTCTCCATCTGAAATCAGACCGGTTTTGTCTGCATGTGTTGATAGTAATATGCTTATGGCAACCCAAGACCATGAGATCGGTGAAATGAAATGGGGGTTAACGTCTTACCTTTCTGCATCGACTGGGCTAATCAGATCGATGAAACATGTTATTTCACACTAAAATACGTAAATACTTACATAGACGCACAAGCCTGATCGGCAGAAATGGAAGGAGCCGAAAAAATTTACTTCGCTGGGTGCCAGTGAATTAGATGGTCGCAAACACATTTTCCTGAAATTCCAGTCTGTGACAAAAGTAACAAGAAAGAAGTCTAATATAGCCTTATTTTTTTCACTTTAAAACTAAAATCCCACTAGATTTTGGAGAAAAGGGAACAATATAACAATAAATGATATGCTTGAACAAAATCCTGTTTAAAGTCCTGGGAGTCTGTCACAGTCAAGTGCCCAAATCATGAAGCGCGCCCACAGGTGATGTTTGGAATCTGCCCCCCCCCCCCCCGAAAATTTATGAAAATTACAAGGCCGCAAAAGTGTTCCATAATAATTAAGACATCTTAACACCAATCAACAAATCAATCAATTAGACTGTTGCTGTTGCATTCACATGCTGTTGCATATTTATTTCACTAATGAATTAAATATGCCAAAACACATCACACTTAGAACAGAGTGGCACTAGACAACTTTTATTTAAATCGACACTGATTTTAAATGTTTTAACCAGTAGTCAAATTAAAGAAATTTTGATTCCCAAAACATTGATCATATATATATACAATTAATTTAATGATCGATGAACGAAAACTGGCACACAATGCGGAATGACTTCAAACCAAAAAGTAATTAATTTTGGGCACTTTATTTTGACAGCTAGAAGGCAAAAGGTGTTTTCCCAAAAAATATTATTTTAATTTTGATTTTTCAATTTTCCAGTCTGCATGAAAAATCTGATTTTTAAAAGTGTATGCAAGTTAAATATCTTTAATATTGCTTTTTATCTGGTTACCTTTTATATAACTATGTGGGGTTTTTGTTTTATAATATCTATTGACATCCCTGTCTGTCGGGTGAGCCAACTGCGACACAGAAATATAATAAGGCATATAGATAGTGAGTAGGTACTGTTATTTGGGACCCAAGATTGCATCTCAGTACACTTGACGTCATGACATGATATGGAATCTCATGGCTTCACAGTTGTCGCAACTTTATCTATATACGGTTTTGCTATGTACTTCAATTTTCATTTGTGTAGTTGTGTTTTCTTATGAGGAAACACTATAGATGATAATAAAAGATGTTAGATGATAATAAAAGATGGTTTTGTGATACACATGACTTTTGTTTTTAACCACATGAAAATGTGCGCATATAATAAGCCTATCTAACTTGAAATAAGGGCATATAACAAGTGGTTGCGATGCAAGATATGTCCATATTTTACGAAAGATGAACAAAGAACAAGCTAATATATAAGTTTCCAGGCAAAGAAACATACGCCCACAGCAGCTACATTGTACGTTCAGTCGAAAAGGGCTGTCACATATTTATGCTTTTGTAGGTAAAAGGAGCATTTACCGCACAGATATCAATTTAATACAGATCGGATGTCAACTTTTGTCTTTTAGAGTCGTTCACACGGGGTTAAACAAGGGCCATAACTCTAGAAGTAATTAATGGAAATTGCTGAAATTCAATAGGCTTGTTGATAACTTTTGTCATTAGAGCGTTCACAAGGTGCAACAAAGTTAAACAAGGGCCATAAGTCCAGAAGAAATTAACGGAAGTTATTGAAATTAAAAAGATTCTTCATCTCACTAATGCCAACAACATATATCAATTTAAAAAAAATCAGATGATAAATGTAGTCTGTCGAGTGTTCACAAGAAATTGTGGACGACGGACCGATGGACCGACAGACGGACAGACGGGGGCGACGGCAATATACGACCACATTTCCATAAAAAATGATAAAAAAACGATTTTTAATGCAATCAAGGGCCATAATTCAGGAAGATATGATCCGATATGTGCGAATATCGACAGAAACCAACATCTTTTGGTTATAGAGATATATTTCAAGTTTCATCAAAATTGGATCAAAATTGTGACTTCTAGAGGTTCCACAAGCTAAAAACGCGATTCTACGTACAATCAAGGGCCATAATTCAGGAAGTTACAATCCGATATGCGCAAAGTCGAAAGGAATCAAAATCTTTGGGTTATAATATGTATTTCAAATTTCATTAAACTCGGATCAAAATTATGCCCTTTTTTGTACAATCAGGGGCCATAATCAATGAAGTTTCGATCCAATACATGCCAATATCGAAAGGAACCGAGATCTTTTGGAGATAAACCTATATTTCAAGTTTCGTCAAAATTGAATAAGAATTCTCACCTGTAGAGTGTTCACAAACAAATTGTGGACGGACAGGCGGACGTCCAGACGGACAGAGGTGACGACAATATACATCCACATGAAAATGTGGGCGTATAAAAAAGATTGCGGGAATTGTCGGATCAAATTTTTACTACAATTTTCGTCTTCTGCACCCCTGAAAACCTATAGAAGATATAGTAAATAAATTGCATGGTTGCTATGTGATTTTGATTTTGGACCATACTGACATCTTTAACAGCTTTAAACGGACACAGCTTATCCAATTTGTGCCGGATTCAAACCAAAAATACATCATTTTGAAGGTATTGAGATGAAGAATATGAAATAATAATAACTCAATTTTCAAAATTTCTTCATTGAGACTTATCATGCCATCACCGGTCATAATGTATGTCCACTACTGGTGTCAACGTATCAAGTTTATCATGACTTGGATCCCATCTAAGTTTATGTTATTTAAATGGTTTTGGATTCCTCTCTCTTTATCTTTATTTTGATTCACATGAAAATGTGGGCCTATAAAAATTAAACTTACCACACAAAAGACCTTCTTCTCTAATCAACCTTCTGGCCAATAAGAATGATTCTTTATCTACAGATTTATACCATTTATCTACAAGCTATAAATAACACCGTACTAATATTTTGCATTTTCTCTTCTGTCAGCACTAAGTTTTGTTCATAAGATATGACATTTTTTGTTACTTGGGTACATATTAATCAACAAAAAAATAACAACTATGTTTGAAACTTGGCCCAAAGGCATGATAATAATTGGTGCTGATGACAACAAAAGTTGAATTTTCTCAATTATGCCTGGATGGATTTTCATATAATTTGGCTTGAAGAATACTACCGGTAAATGCAAGTCCAAGAAACCTAAGGGACGCCTTTTGGCTATAGACTGGCTTGTCTCGTATCCATCGAAATGCCAAACCAGCAGTTACCAAGGCAAATACACCCACATTTAGCAAGAGATGAATGGAGAACAAGCTAAAGAAAAAAAAAATTGATTTTTCGTACAATCAGGGGCCATAATCCAGGCAGTTATGGTCTGAAATGGGCAAAAATCGAAATGGACTGAGATATTTGGGATATAAAGATATATACTGAGCACTATGGAAAACGCATCACTTTTTTTCCCAAATATTTTATTACTAGGTGGTTTTGTATGTATAATATTATACAATACTATGAACTATTGCTTCACACAATGCTCCCAAACGCAAAAAATATCGGCCCGTGTGCACACAAAAAAAATTGCATGAGATGCACATGAAAAACCCAATATTCACGCGCAGCATTGTGTGTGAGACCTTTAAAAGCATGTTTTCAACTTAATGTGCAGTACATGACCTGTGAAACGTCAATCTGTCGTAATTTGTTGTTGGACATGTGAATTGAGACCACAAACTCAAAACGTGATTTTTCGTACAATCAAGGGCCATAATTCAGAAAGATATGCGCGAATATCAAAAGGATCCAAGATCCTTGAATTATAAATATGCATTTCAAGTGTCATCAAAATTGGATCAAAATTGTGACCTCTAGGAGGTTCACAACCTTGATATACCAGATGTTTACACTATTTGCGTACATGGGCGTCCTTTTTGTCCACTATTTGCGTACAAGGGGCGGCCATTTTGTCCATCAGTTTTGGTCTGATTTTCACAAAATTCGAACTCAACCATCATTAATCCTTTGAACCCTGGCATATATACCATAAATGAGCCACACCCTGGCCTGTGGGGCAAAATTTGACAATATTCAGTGACAAATTATAAAATTGCTAATCACCCAAAGTGCAAACAAAGGGGACACTCTGCAAGTATGGATCATGTGCTACCAGGAAAAATAGTTCTCAAAAATACATAGACATGCAATATGATTTTTCAAGGGAACATTTGTCACCATAGTTCCACAATTCACAAAAAAAAAAACGAAAAAAGTCAAAAATTCAATAAAAACAAATTTTATTACTCTCAACAATATGCAAAAACACCCATGCTTAGGATAATAGAGGAATGTCAGATTCTGAGTGGATTTTGAATCCTATGCAAAAAACAGTCTTATAAATAATGTCAATTATATCCAATAATTGGCTTTGTTGTGCCAGTCTCTCCAACAGTTGTAGGGTGACCCATGTACTCACAGAAATACAGTCCACCGCTGATAGTTCGAGACTACCACTGAAGCGTGCACATTCGCCGTGCCGAGACCAACTTTCTGACAGTATGATACTATAAATAGCCATGGCACGTGCAATTCTCTACAAATCTATCAACTATTACAGCCGTAAAAAATTTATTGTTGACGATTTTGAATAGCAGTTAAATTAAGCTTCTTGGTTATTACAGCAGATTTAGAAATTACGTACGTTTCATTATTTAAATCGCTTTATCATTAACTGTACTGTTAAGAGCGGCATCTTTTGGTTTAGTACAAATAATATCTCTGAATCACTTGGGTTAGGCAGGAACATGATACTAGCAGTAGTTTCATTTTACTTTTACAAGCTTCTTAAAACGATTGTTGAGCTACCTAACGTGCTTATTTCTAAATTCAATTTCTTGTTCTAGCTTTCTGTTACGTTTCGTAAAAAAGTAGTCTTGATTATCCCGACCTGTCAATCAGACGTAGAATGGTCGATAGACTGGTTAAGCGAGACTAATTTCAAAACAAGGGCACGTAACCTATCTTTTACTCAAAAGTGTCTGGATGTTGTGGACGACTCTTGGAACCAGTTTTCAGTCCATTATTTATACATGATTAATGGTCATAGCTTATTAAGTACAACATGATCGTTTATTTAGTGACTATAATTGTGTGAAACTGATTTGAGGCTTGGCATATATATAAATATTGTGGCGTAATTGTCGAGATATATGGAGATATTTATTTATGGTGGGTCACCCTAACAGTTGTTCCCAGGCTCACGTATACAAAGGAAGACTCGACAAGAATTACACCAATATACAGTCTTTGATCGTTTTGGTAAGTCTCTGGCTGTTTTTTTTTACCTTTAAGCTTGTCCATTTTTCATCACAAACAACACATCTTTGATTGGTTGTGGCATGTGGTGCTCTCTCAACTTCGTGCACTCCAACATTCTGTAGTCGCATTTCGGTTAGGGATGGTCGTCGCCGAACAAGCCGAATCTGTGCATAGTCTCGAACTTACTCGTGACACAAATCGCTTATAAACATATGAAATGTTACTCTCCTCCTGTGCAGCAAATTATGAGGTTTATACCAGTCCATAATGATATAAGCATTAAATGCTGCCCACAAAAAAAACAGGAGTCGTCAGGGCCATCTGTAATGTCTACGCGATCTCTGCAGCTTGGTCATTTGGTCATTCTTATCAACTCCGCCCATGTAGGCATTGTACATTTTTACGATATTGGGGCATTTTACAGGCAGTTGTTTGTGTTCTGTAGCATTATACCTAAGTACAGTTACAACAGAATCATTTATGTGAGTCGTAGCTAGAAAATAAATTGGCTTTTTATCACACAAGATGTAGGCGGCGACAGTTCCATTGAAAAAATGTTCATAAGATCCTCTATCCATACTGTGGCGAGTATTCGGCTTCTTTAGTTGATCTGGAAACAATTTCCTGTTAGTCAAAGCAGTTCCTATGATCTTGGTACCATAATTTTGAATCAAATGTTCTGCTAAATTAACTGAAGTATAAAACCGATCAACATACACTGTGAAGCGCTGATTGCGATATGGTTGCAAGAGACGCACAACTAAATTAACTGTAACGCCTAGGTCACGCGTCTGTTCGGGATTGTCAACTTTACCAGTATAGACCTCGGCATTGCAAATATAGCCTGTTTCACTTTCACATAACAAGAAAGTTTTGATGCCCCACTTGATTGGTTTATCTTTGATGTATTGCCTAATTGACAAGGCATTTTTGGTTGGTATCATGCCCTCATCAAGTGACAATTGTTCCCTAGGGACGTATAAATTTCTGAATTTTTCCAAATAGTTGAAGACAGGCCTGGTTTTGTAGATCTTATCTGTTTTGTCAATATTTTCATCATCTTCATTCACACAGTGAAGAAAAGTCCAAATTGCAAGGAATCGGTCACGAGAAAGAACATCTTTCAAGCCTGGAGTACTCATCAGAAAATCAGTTGTCTGCCAGTATTGTTCATACCTATTTTTATTCAGCAACATCTCCATAGCAATTCTGCAACCAAAAAAAGCCTTTATTTCCTCTTGCGACACTTTGGAAAAGTTTTTTGCAGCATAGTTATTTCCTCTCCGCTTGGCAGTTTGTCTCTGTTCGTAGCAATTCCCACAGGTTACGGTCCCAAAATATACTAAAGAAATCTAGAGCAGAGCTCTCACCATTTAAATGTTGTGGCATATTTTTTAGGCCAGGTATTTCATCTGGTCTAAATGGGTCTTCATAGAAATCATCTGTATTATTTTTCCATTGTTTGTTGACAAATGGTGCATCCCCATGACCACCACGACCCCCTCCTCTCTGTTCTGTAGCAGGGACAAAAGATGGATTCTGTAGTTGGTTGTCGTCACAACAATCAGTACTAGGCCTAGTACTAGTAGTAGACAGATTTGCGAATGGTTGATCAACACTTTGACTTTCATGATTGTTTTCACTATTATCGTCGCTACTTTCACTAAGAAAGTCACTATCATTGCCGTAATCAACACTATTTAAGTCCTCGTCATCACTTTCAAGTATTCTAGCAAGTGCCTGGTCTACTGTTACAAGTCTGTGTGCCATTCATATCCGTAAAACAATAATTATTTTCAGGAATATTTGTGTTGACGTCTTCGAGCCAGAGGGGAAACCCCTCACAGCAGACGACACACTGTACCACGTGTTTTGATTGGTCAAGACTTGAGGGAAATCCAAGTGAGTCATACCAGTGTATCACCAAGGGAAACGGGGAAAGCCCTCACTACAACACGTTTGCAGGGCGGAATTCCGAATGTGTCATGCTTGGCCGAAAAACCTGCCAGCCGGGATAATGACATTATTATCTTGGCCGGAAAACTGGCCAGTCGGGTTCAAAGAGTTAAGGTGTAATCGTGATATACTAAGACGTTTTTTAAATCGCATAAAAATTGCGACCTCTAGAGGGACCACAAGCTAAAAGAGCAATTTTGGGTACAATCAGAGGCCATAAGTCAGGAAGGTACGATCCAATATGTGCGAATATCGAAAGGAACCAAGATCTTTGGGATATAAACATGCATTCCAAGTTTCATCAAAATCAGATAAAAATTGTGATCTCTATAACTATAAGGTCCTTGAGATACCATATTTTTATATTTGCGTACAAGGGGCGGCCATTTGGTCTGGCAATTTTGTTCCGATTTTCACAAAATTCGAGGCCAGCCATCATTTGGGTGTAACGGTTATATACTTAAACGTTTTTTTAAATCCGATAAAAATTGTGACCTCTAGAAGGACCACAAGCTAAAATTGCGATTTTTCGTACAATCAGGGGCCAGAATTCAGGAAGTTATGATCTGATATGCACGAATATCAACAGAATCCAAGATCTTTGGGTTATAAACATGCATTTCAAGTTTCATCGAAATCGGGTGAAAATTGTGACCTCTCCATTGTCTAC